TTTTTTTTTTTTTTTTTAAGAAGGAAAAAGAGCCTAAGGATTATTCTCTAGTAAATACTAGTCAGCATTATAATGTTTAGGGGCCCATAATGTCTTTGTAATTAGAGCAGTTAAAATGAAGTCTGTTCTAGACTTCAGAATTTATTACAGGATCTCATGATGCTGTAATACAAGACAAAGCAACTAGGACTCTTCCTTTACAGGGTGTTCTTTTAGAAATACAGTGGCAGAGCATCAGGTATAAAATAATTTGCCACCAAATGCAAATTTTCCATTTGAGGAAACCAAGCTGATACCTCACTGTAAGGCTCTGCTGTACACACAGCATCTTTGAAACAGACACCCAGTGGCAAATTAACTTTACCAAAATATTGGGTGCAAGAAACAACTTCTAAAAGCAAAAGGTGCATTTGGCAAAATTCAGATGTTTTGCAAGAGAAGTACTTTTTTTCTAGACAAATATTTTGTTAGAGCTAGAAAATTATTTTGCCTTCACTTTATAGGTTCTTGGGATATGCAGGTTGGAAGAGCCCTCTTCCAAGGTGCTCAGGTGCCACCCACTCCTCAAAAAAAGGTTATATTGAATTGCCTCAAAAAAGGCAAAAAATTTAGAAGACTTTTTTTCCTTCCATGACAAATAAGATTTCAGATTTTAGAGAGTAAAATTTGCAAGTATTTTCTTTCATTCCTGGGACAAAAATGGAACACTACCACTTTTCACAGAACAAGAATACCACAAATTGATTTGCTCTAACAACTGCCAGACACAGAAACAAATCATTGCCTCTACAAAAAAGAAGCCAACATGATGTATTTCCCTGGCTGTATCTTGAGCAGTCATAAACAAACAAATTCTCCAGTTATTGAAAATTATACTTAATATCAATGGCCTCACTAACCTTAAAAAACAGCTGGAGCATTATACTCCTTCAGCCTTTGAAGGCTCACTCATGTTTATGTAGATCAGTGAAAGCTAGAATATCTTGAAGATTCCAGATCTCCATCATAAATAAATGGTCTTATTATTTCAGCAATAAATCTACTACTGTTTTAGCAGTAAATGCTAAAATGTTCATAAAAAGGTTCACAAAAGTTCAATATAATATTATATGGCAATAAGATCTCTAATATTAAGTGTCATATAGATACTGTGTATCTATGGAGTTTTACTACTATTTACCAGAAATAAATTCAGCACTTTACATTTATCTTTCAGCTTTTCCAGGTCAGAAATATCTTACATTTGCAAATTTATGCCTAATTGTCTGCATCTCATCACACAGTCCTGTATTTCCAAGTTGGAGGGGCGGAATCCTGAAAAGACACAAGCTAGTTTCTCAGTTTTTTTTTTTTCACCTGAGAGCCTATTATGATGAAATTTCAACTTGTTATTGGGACTTGCAATTTGATTGGCTTTTGACCTGCCACTGAAATTTAGTGATGCTACTCATGCATGTAAAGCAGCAGAGCTCTGAAATCACCCACAGAAGAGATCCGCTGACAGAAAATCCTCACATTGCTCTATTTCAAAACTGAAACATATTGACCACAGAGTGGTCTGCCTGTCAACTTTACACCTCCTCGTGCAGCAATGAAAGACCAGATCAGCTCTGTGCCAAGTTTGCTGAGGTACATACTTTACACCCATCTCTTTTCCCAGACGACAGCCCGGCACAGAACATCCGAGCTGTGATAATCCCGTACGTGGAATGACACAGCGTCTGGTCAATAATTTCTACCTCTGCTTTCTGAAGAACTGCCGAACCTTCATTGTCTGGAAGAGGAATTCAGAGCAGAATATTCAGAAAATATCCACAGATACTTTAGACCATTGCGTTATTCCAGATTCCAAACTGCAACAGAGCAGGAAGCCTCTTCCAACTATCAGGGAATTGTGTGATTTGATCTGGGTCCTTCAGCCACCCCAAACACAATCACTAGGCTTGGCCAAAATCACTAGGATTGGTCAAAAAGTTTGGGGTTTTTTTTCCCCAAAAACATCTCAAGGCTTCTTAATTTGCTCTCTTTTTATTTCAAAAAGGAAACTGAATTTTACAAATATATTTAGATCATCACATGATAGACTTGCAGTGAGGGCAGCATACGTGAAGAAGCCAAATTCAAGATTATGAGTCAGTTTCAGAATTCAAATTCTCACAGCATAAAGAACCAATTTCCACATTTGCTTCTTTCTGTCTGTAAGATTTGGTGAAACACCTCTTTTTCATAAGATATATATTTTAATAATAACCAAATTAACCTAAAGTTTCTCCTCCTTTCAATACAGCAGGCCCAATCTCATCACCAGGTGCTCCCTTCAAAATCTGGTCATAGCCAAAAAGCCCTCACCCACATATTCAAATATGCCAGCACTGGTTTAAATCATGAAACTTTATTTTAGGATTTGATAAAGCTAGTATGTTATAAAGTATATTTTGGCATTACAAGATTGATTTGGCACTTGTATTATAGAAACTGATGAAGGGACTAGGGGGAAACACGAGAAAAAGATGCCTCCCCCCCTTTTTTTTTTGAGGCATTACATTTATCTTTCAAACAACCAGCTTTTTAATTTTACATATGATTAACCAGCAGCCCAAAGAGAAAAACCACACCACGTGTCCCACACCTCCAAGGGGAACGGAAGGGAAAGACAACACTGTGATATTTTGGGGTAAGTGTAGCTCCCTACACTAACAACACAATATGGAAGAAATTCAGATCCGTGGGACCAGCAGCCAAGTTCCCCGAGTATATGAAGGTACATGCATATTGTAAATGGAGGTGAACCCAATGGGAAGAAATGGCCATGTCTGACTTAATCCAGAAGGCTAAATGATTTCTTTATTATAACTGTGCTAAAATACATTAATATACTATATAAAAAGAAGATACTAAAACGACATACTACTTTCTCTGACTCTAACACAACTCGTGACCCTCTCTGAGAGTCCAGCCCCAGGTGGGTTGGATTGGATTGGGTTGGATTGGATTGGCCATCAGGCTCAAACAATCCTCACCAGAATCCAACCAAGCACTCACCCCAGGTAAACAATTCTCCAAACACATTCCACATAGGAAAAACAAGGAGCAGAATTAGAAATTGTTTTCTCTTTCATTTCTCTCTGCGCACCTCTATGAAAAACTCTGAGAATGAGAGAACTGTGCTTGCCACCCATGCACACTCCACCCTCTCCAGCTGTGAAGGCTCCTGTGAACAAAATCAGCTCAATGGAAGGGATAAAACGCACCTGCTTCCTGCTTTTGGCCCCAGCCTGTGATCCAGCACTTGTCCCCGCTGCGGGCTCGCTGGGAGGACGGGGGCAGGCAGATGGGCTGGATGAGGTGGCCCATGGTGTCGGGCCAGGGCGCGCTCAGCTGCAGCAGCGCGATGTCGTAGTCGTAGTTCCTGCTGTTGTACAGCTCGTGCACCACGATCCGCCGCACCGCGGCCACCAGCGCGGCGCGGCCCTGCCTCCGCATGCCCAGGTGGGCACGCCACGCTCGGGGGTCTGCCAGCCTGGGTGGGAGCAAACGACAAGTTGCACCTTCAAAAAGCGCCTCAGAACACCCACCGACGGCAGGGCTGGGAAAGAAGAGCACAGCACCTCCATGCAGGTCAAACTCTGGAAGATGAAGGCACCTGTGGATTCTGGCCGTGTTTGGGACAGGTATAGACATGCAGGTCAAACTCTGGAAGATGGAGGCACCTGTGGATTCTGGCCGTGTTTGAGACAGGTATAGACATGCAGGTCAAACTCTGGAAGATGAAGGCACCTGTGGATTCTGGCCGTGTTTGGGACAGGTATAGAGGGAAGATTGCTTACTTGCTCCCTTGAAAGCAGTGGGCTGCAGACACAAGCCATTCTTTGGATATCACTGATGCTCCACAGTAAGCAGCTCCCACAAAATGAAGGCTGACCTGCCAGGGCCATTCGCCTTCCTCAGTGTTCGAGCCGCCCACAATCCGAGAGATGAGGTTGTTGATCTTGCTACTGCCACAACCTGCAAAAAGTATTTCAGGTTGTAATCCCCATCTCCAATACTTTCCCTTAATGAGGGGGATTCCCACATAAGGCATGAAAGAATATTGAACTTTGAAATATTTTGAAATCTATTTAATTCCCTGGCTATAATCACAAAACTTCTCTCTTTGGCTACTCTATCAATTAAATCAGAGATGACTCCATAAAAAGCCACCAGTCGGGAAATTTTACTTAGTCCCTTTTCTAGCTCTGATACAGAAATTAGCCTCTAAATATTTCTTGTGTCAGAAATGTCAAAGGATCCACTGATTTAATAAGCATCACAATGAATATATACAAATAGGCAAACCGTTATCTCTTTTTGATACTGCCAACCCTGACCTGAAAGGATACCATCAACAAAGAAGTTCAATCTCATCAGGACTCTTACTTCTTGCCAAAACAATGGGAATGATACAAGAAAAATGTATGTGGGGATTGGACATTTATTTGACAAATAAGGTGGTACAATCATTATTTTGTATGGAAATAACTGACTGACAATGTATATTACTAACATGTGAAGAAGTCATGTCTCATCAGAACAAAAATCTGAACTCTTAATTTGAAAAGCAAGCAAGAAAGATGCTTCTGTAGAGCGTCCTGTCCATCCCTAGTGCTTGCACATAAAGTTTCTGCTCAGGAGTTTTAGTCCCACGCTCCCACACATAGATGTTAATATTTCTGGACCCTTTCCTGAACACATCCACAAAGTCGAATGCAGCTTTAATGTTTCCAAATAAAAATAGGCATATGGCAGGCAGCATGCCAGAGACAGCTGAGAGTCAGGCAAAATCCTAAAATGGTTCGGTTTGAAAAGGGAGTTTAAAGATCATCTAGTTGCAACCCACCCTGCCATGGGCAGGGACAGTTTCCCATTAAACCAGGTTGCTCAGGGTTCTATCCAGCCTGGCCTTGAACAATTCCAGGGATGAGGCATTGACAGCTTCTCTGGGCAACCTCTGCCAGGGCCTCGGCACCCTCACCGTGGAGAATTTCTTCCTTATATCAAATTTAAATCTATCAGGTTTTATTTATTATAAAGCCATTCCTCCTTGTTCTACCATTACATGCCCTTGTGAAAGGGTCTTCTCCAGTTCTCCTGTAGGTCCCTTTAGGTACTGGGAGGTGCTAAGAGCCTTCTTCCTAAAGCTGTCTTCTCCAGGCTAAACAACCCCAGCTGTCTCAGCCTGTCTTCACAGGAGAGGTGCTCCAGCCCACAGATATCTCCAGGAACATCCTTTGGACTTGTTCCAACACATCCACGCTATGTAATATACTTGAGACCATCCAGTTTAAGCAACTACTCCTAACATCACTTTTATTGCTGCTGCATTGATAATCATCTATTTCCTTTACATCAAAACAAACTGAAAAGGTTGTACAGAGATTACTTTAGGAAGATTTAAGGCTAGAGCCTGACTTGATACTATGAAGTACTGGGGGTCTTCACCATCTGGAAGAGTCAGAGAAGTGAAAAGTTTGTGATTTTTTTTTCTAATTGCAGCTGTATCACTCCTGAAGTCCACATATGGTCTGACTTCAATGAAGACCCTGGCTGCAGACAGCAAAGTTGCTGCCTTCCCAGCAAACCAAGTTCACTCTGTAATTAACCTTGCTGCCCTACTCCTCAGCACAGCTGAAAAAAGCAGTACAGCTTTCTAAGGCTCCCAGAACTGTAAGCCCACCCTCCCACAGGAACTTGGCAAGTTCTGCAACCAGATCAGAGGTAAACTGATAGCTGATCATTACCCAGCTATCACAAAAAGAATGCAATAAAAATTCAGTACCTGCAGCCCGACTTGTACCCACTCCAAAATGGGAAGCAATAAAGGTCTTTATTGTGCAAAAAAGTTCAAAGTTCAGAAAGATGGATATTTGAGAGGAACTTACTGCAGCTGCTTTCATCACTTCCATCAACACAGTCCACAGTCCCATCACATCTTGCATATTGTTTCCTAATGCAAATGTTATTCCTGCACTTGAATGTGTGGTTGGTGCAGGGAATACCTGAAATAGTTGTGAGGAAAAAAACCCAAAACAACCATTGGCTCAGCTTAACACGTGAAGACATGTCTGAACAGATAGAAGATGTACATGTATTAATAGATAGGAAGTAATATGACAAAAAAACCACATAGGTGGGGATGGCTTAACCTCTAAACAGAACGAACCATTCAAATAGAAATGCATCTGTACTTGGGTGTGTATTTACCTGGCCAAGTCCCAACAAAGATTTCTTCCCATCCTTTCCCACAGCACTATCACACAGAGATATAATAGTGAAAATTAGATGTAGAGTGTAAGGATAGCAAGAGAAAACATCCAGTACTCTGGAAGGGAGCTCTCCTTTCTATTTCAGTGTTAAATGTGAAATGAAAGATTGGAGTCAAAACAGCCTCATTAACTGTATCCAGCAACCCCCAAACCTCAGCATTTCCTGTTTCCCTGTGGCTTAAAATACATGCACTCAAACCAAATCCATTTTTCTTGTCAATGCACAGAAGTATCCTGTAATCATTTACACAGACTGTCTTGTCAGAGGGGTCAAAAAAGTTTTCTTTAAAAAAGTCTCTTGCAGCATGGGATCCATTTAGTCTAAAAAGTTCAAGAAAGTTCTGATTCAAAACTTTCATTTGGCTAATGCTAAATTTATGGTTTTTGCTAACATTATAATAGCCCTAAAAACTACTACAGATGAACCATAATTTTAATAGTTATTTTACAGATGGTAAAATGGGTCCAGGAATTAATTTGCACAGATTATGTTGTAAAGAGATAAAATCTCAGATTCAGCTTTAAATCCCTAGATCCCCATGTACTTAATTCTTCTGCCAGTATTTTGCAAAAACAGATGTTCATGAGCTTATTAAAAAGAAATAGTTTAAAACCTGTAATGGCTTTTTTCTAAGTGTATCAGAAGAATTGAAAGGAATGATATAGCCTAAGTGAGATTTGACAGTGCCTCAACCTTTTGAATGCAGCATCCAGAATTTAAGTCAGGAATAGATAGATGACAAAAGAGAGGAAAAAAATTATTCAGGAGAGCAGCCTTACTGTGGGTGCAGTTCTGCTCATCTTTTCCATTCTCACAGTCACTCACTCCATTGCAGGCGAGCAAGTTGTCCTGTATTGCAAAGCTGGAGTTACAGTTCCACTCACGGACAACTTTAAAAATATAAGCCAAATCAGGTACAGAAACATTCCTGTAAATGCTAACACATCCCCTTCTGACTATGTCTGGATACAACATTCATTCCTTCAAGGATGGGCAATACATTCCAATACAAGGATGGGCATCAGTGCCACTTTACACATGGACAAACTAGAGCACAGAGGAGTTCAGTGAGCACCTCAGGTGGAGATGTTTAGTATCACTATCCCCTACTCTATGAACCCCTCCTTTGTCATTTCCCCACAAAAAATAACTTCTCTCTAAATGGGACAGAACTTCATTAATAATTTCCAGTTTTTATCACATACTTAAATATATCCTACTGCAGCTATTATTGCACATCTAAATTTCTTCCTCATGTTCTCCAGTGCTGTACCTTCTTTATTCTTGGTTTTGTCCCTTGACAATTTACTATGAATTGAGCATTCCAGAGACTGACATATAGTCTGCACAAAGGAAGCTGAAAACATCTTTTGTTATTCCCATTAAAAAATTTCACCTTGTTTCAGCTGCCTTCTAGGATTAGAGAATACATTCAGTGTGTTTTCCAGTCAAGATCTCTAATAAGTGAATACAAACCACAAGAGAGTTCATCACTTTCGTCGAAGCAGTTGTTTATGCCATCACAGCGCTGCATCTGCTGGATGCATAAGCCCGTGGAACACTTGAAATGTCCAGGTGGACATGCTGGAGGTTAAAAAGGAGAAAAAAAAACAAAAACCAAACAACAACAAAAAAAAAAACCCAAGCAACCAAACCTCAAAATTTCCTTTTCACAAATATTGCTGGCTTGTTTCAATTTGCAGTCACTAAGCTGCTCCAAGGAATGATAACACTCATCTAAATTTAATAGTCTGTATGCATTGCCAGCACTTAAATTGAATTCAAATGGGAATTAAAGAAGAGAAAAAAAGATCTCTAAATTTCTAATTCAGCTGTTCCTGGAATATGTACCACAGGCTCTCTGGGGCTGGAACAAATAAGCCAGTGTTTTATGGTGTAACACAAGACTGCTTAGAAAACCATCTTTATTTTAAACAACAATGTCACTTCCAATAACCAAAATTTGCAGCACTATGCAACTTTGGTAAATAACCTGCATTGAGGTGGTGTATGAACTACATAATTCTACCTTATAAATTAAAATAATCAAATTTCTCCTCTTTTTACATACACTACATATATACATTGAATAAAGTATCCCTAATGTGACAAGTAACTATGTTTAGAAACCACTGCTTCTCTACTACCTTAAAAAGAATTTATAAGACTAGCACAGGTAAAAAGTACCAGTAAACAAGTTGTATTTTTCAGGACTGGAAAAAAACTCAGGGTCTCAGTTTATTAATATTTTGAGCTGTTTTTTCGGCTCAGATTTCAGATTTGCACACACTATATATAAATACATGGAAACAGTGAAATAAGCGGGTGGCTATTCGGTACTTTTTCCATTACCTGTGAGCCTTATAGCAATAGAAGCATTGCAAACAAAAAGTTGGGGTTTAAAACTAACAGGAACAGCAGACTTCAACTGACTGCACCGTGGTCGTAGCCACACAGGAAGCTTTGAGGACTGTGCAGAAGAGAAGAGCGTGCACGCAGGAAAGCAGAGCACGCTGCACGTGCCCACAAACCTCAGATGCACAGCCTAGAAAAGGTTCTTTGTTTCTTAGTCATCTTAGCGAGAGCAGAAAAGAAAATTAACTGAAACCCAACAGCTAATTTGCTGCATAAACTTAATTAAGTCCTACTGGGCCCAAAAAGTGCTGCTTCACAGATCTGAAATGCAAAGAAGGGTTGAAAGATAAAATGCATCTTACGCTGGCCGATGGCATAGCTGCCGTACTCCACCAGCAGGGGCTTCTCGGAGACCTTGGAGCTGCACTGGAGCTCCACGCTGGCAGCAGAGCTGGTGATGTGGAACACTGTCTGGTGATCGATGTAGTAACCACAGTACCTGCAAGTGTCCAGGCCAGTTCTAGAGAACCTTCGTGGGAAAACCGCCTTATATACAGTTTAAATGTCAACACCGCTGAAATGCAGAAATACTCTCAGCTGCTGTACGTTAGTTAAGAACCAAAAATATTTCTCAGTAGGTACATGTTGGAACTCAGAATGTCTCTCAGACATTGTTAGAGGTTCCAGGCCTTGGTCAGGAGCATTTTAGACCCTGGCAGGCAGCTGCAAACAGCTGTGATTTTGAGTTTGAGCCATGGAATGAGTTACCAACTTTGGAGGTGGAACAAGAAGTCACAAAGGGTTAGATAGTATAGTAAAAGTAGTTACAAAACAGAGGGGAAATTTTTTAGTATTGTACAGGGGGGTTTTAGCACCTGTACAGGGGGGTTTTTACTTTGTCCATGGGGGTCAGAAGTTCTAAGATGGAGGAAAGTGGGCTGATCCTGTTCTTCCTCTTTCTTCTTCCTTGCCTCCATGTTCTTGGTGATGTTGGCACTCACAGATTGGTTTAGAGTAGAAAAGCACTTTGTAATATAGGTAGTAGGTATTGGGGGAAAACTATAAACATGTAATACGTAATATATCATATAAAAGAGAGCAGCAGCCCTGGGCAGGTGGAGAGAAGAAGATGACAGCAGAGAGGATGTCAGGGTGTGTGTGTGCCTCTGCCTGAGCTGTGAGCAAACCACAGCAGCCCAAGGAGAAAATCTTTTACGTAACTCACAATAAACTGCCTTGGGACCGAACAACAAGAGGCTGTGGAGTTTTTCTTTGGAAGCACGGGTTGGAGGAGAGACTTTTCCACCACACAAGACCCCAGACCAAGCCCGGGGTTCTCACAGGTACCCAGCCTTCACCTGCCATTAACATTGTGGAAATTTACTTCTCAATGTCACACCTTCAAATAAATAGCCCTAAAAATAATGCCTTGGGTGCACATCTACTTCAAATTGCAATTTTGGCAGAGATTCCTTGGACTTCTGCCTAGGTGCAACTTGATTCAGAGAAACCTAAATGCTTTCTGATGCCATCAAATATTTAATCCATTAATGAATTTCTAATGTTCCTTTCATCAAATATGCCAAATATGCCAGTCTCTACCAGGGTTGGGGGTGGGCAACAAAAAACATAGATTAAAAAAAAACAAAGTAGAAAAAACAACCCCCAAAGCAAAAAAAACCCACAACCAAACAAAGCCTCTTTGACAAGGGAAAGGTTGCTGGATCATGATTTTAAAAACAGAGACAGTTTTAAATACAGTAAATCAGTGAACATCAACAGTACAGGTTGTTCTAGAAGTGGAAATAAATACTCTCTCCTCAACAAAAATGCCTCAAAAAAAAAAAAAAATTAAAATCTGGCTTTAATATTCCAGCCAAAATCAAAGTACACATGACTCTTTAGATTTAGGAGCACAGGCAGCTGTATTGATTTTTATCACACTTGGCTCACACACTTGTTTGACAGCAGTACAAGATCACTCACTGACAACAAAATTAACACAAAGAACAGAAGAAAATAAAATGGATTGTTTTATTGTTAAATGGAGCAGTGGACTATCAGCCAGAAGTAAATATTTCCCTTGTGTATTTTTCTACATCAAGCATTGCATCAGGGCTACTCTTCATGTCAATGAATGGAGAAAAATTGGTCAGGAATTTCCATGTGAACAGATGTTGCCTCAGTGTCCTGAGCATCCCAGTGAGGTCTGCCAAAGGGAATGGACACACTCATTCATATGTTTGCATTTATGCCCTATTTCACTGTACTAAAATCAACCATCCTGTTAACAGATCTGGGAGATTCTGTTCCAGCAATGTGAAAAATAAAGGATGAAAACAGTTTAAAAAAGAAAGTCTTCTCTTTGACATCTTGAAAGCAGATGCAAAAATCTGAGTTAATTTTACAGCTTCTTACTATAGGAGAATTAATTGTAAAAGTAGCCCCAAACAAAGCCCCCCCCCCACCCTCACCCCCCCCCCCCAAAACCCCCCCCCCCCCAAACAAACCCCCCCCCCCACCCAAACCCCCCCCCCCNCCCCCCAAAAAAAACCCCAAAAAAACCAAACCCTGGAACACCACCATAAAAAAAAAACCCAACAACAAAAAAAAAATCAAAAAACAACAACAAAACAAAACCCCACCACAAGCTACTGTCTTGTGTACAATGTGAGGTGTAACCAAAAGTAAGTATTTCTACTACCATCCACGTGAGCTGTTAAAATGAGAGGAGCAGTGTTTCTTTACCATCTCCATAACTCCCTCAGGGGAAGCAGTCTCCACTCTGAGGGGGCCATCTCTGCTAATGGACCATCAAGAACTGCCCAGAATGACTCACAGAATTACATTATCCCATTTTGGAATTCCCTGCCCTGGGGGATGCACCAAACAGTCCCACCTGTATATAATTCGGGGTTATATATAATATATAATTTATACAATATTTATATAAATTTGGGGCTTGAGGCACCACAATACCACCACTTGATAACCAGAGGATGAGAGCTCTTGACAGCCACCACTGGAGACCTTTTCACAGGATCACTGCTTCAACAAGGCTGTAGCCATCCTCCAATGGGTCTGCAGCCACCATTTAATCAGACTGTGACTGCCACCCTGACCAGCAGGGTGTCAGGTCATATTCTGACTTTCTCTGTTTCAGCCAGTGTTTCTGTACTATTGCCTTTATTGTAATTTTCCCATGAAATTATTGGAAGCTCTCGCAAAATATTTGTGTGGAGTTAAATCCTCTTCCTGGTTTGCCTTCAAACCAGTGCACCCACCAAATCTATCAGTGTTGAGTGCAGATTTCCTACATCAGGAAGTCCAATTGTCACTTAATTTAGTGTGTATCACCAATGCTCCCAACCTAAAACAGCCCAAAGTGCACAGGAAAATGCTGTTTACCAGTCTGATTCCCTTCAATTAGCTCTCAGACATTGTCTGCATTTCTTCTTCTGTCAATGACTTACCCAGTCTTCCTCCCAGCAAACCCTAGCAATGTAAAAAAACCCCAAACTAATAAAAAAACCACAAACAAGCAAAAATTGAAGTCTGCATTGACCCCATCTCAGACAAATAAAACAAACTCATCTAACCAAAAGCAGAGGAAATTACTGCCCATCTGTGGAAAAGCTGTAGCAGGTACACAGTGAGAAATGCCATACGCTCATGGGATTTGTAAAACAAAGCTACAAACCCTCAGGAGCCTTTTGCTGGTGTTTTACTGATCATATATCCAGGTCCAGGGCAGATGGAAGCTGCAAAGCACCATCTGTAACTCTGGGCCTTTGCTCCAGAGAGAAACTGATTCAGGGGATCCTGTCCTCCCATATGTTGAAGTGGGCAGGATGGTTTTTCAGAGGATGAACAGATATATGCATGCTGTAGCAGAAACAATGGGATATTGCTCTAACAGTTTTGAGACAAATAAAGCACCTCTGTGTTCACATAAACCACTAGTGGTCTGCTCATAGGACACTCATTGGTATTCCTGCCTCTGAGAAGTTCATCAGCTGTAATTTCTTTGACAAGGCAGTGGAGCATTGTGTGTCCACTGGAAGAAAGACAGGGAAGAACTTCATGGTTGTGTTCAGTGTCTCTGCTTAGAGAAAGCTCCCTAAATGTCTGATGGAACCTTATCTGCACCACCTGCTTAGTTGCAGTGTTTACTGATATCAGGATCCCAAAGGTTCTTCAACCATTTTTACCTAAGATAACACAATAGGCATCCCATAGGCTTTGACTGCAAGAAGTTGAAAAATGGGGGTCCCCTGCCTGCACCCCCCCACCCCATTTCATTAAAAATTTAAATTTTGAGAAGTAAACAAGAAAATAAAACATCACCATGTTTCATGCTTGAAGTCATTTTTTTCCCCTTCAAAAGTAAATATAGAACAAAAAACCCAGAAGTTCAAAAGCCTTATTTTCAATGAAAAACACATTCTTTTAAAGGAAGGCTTGTCTTGGTCTGCTACTATAGCCATCAACTTGCAACAGAGAGCAGGAGCATGTGCTCTTGTGCAGTACTTCAAAAGCAACCCTGAGTACACTTTGAGGAATCATACCATGGACATTTGATTCTGTGGAACACATAATGGACAGGTTTGTCAAAAAGCTGCTCATATTCTTTCAGGATTCTCTGTGAGAGAATTCCTCAGTATGATCCTATTACAATTTTTTTTCTCCAGATTTTGCCCTTGTTTTTTATGTCAGCCGTCCCAAATATCACAAATCTTTCAATTTCTGTCTTAAAAAGACCACCAAAAAAACCACACATGTGGTGTGCTTTGACTGGTGTTTTTATGCACTCCTCTAGTCCAGCAACCAATTCCCATCAAGGCACAGTTATAGGAGATTCAAACTGAATTTTCACTCTATAAATACAACAACTCTGTTGAAGAACAGATGAAGATTTTCCTTCTCTCTGTAATTCTTTCAGTTGTATGCTTAAGGGCCTAATTCACTTAGTTCCAGTAGTGAGTCCAGAAACTCAGTTTCAAGACTAATCTTACTGGTGTTTCCATTTGAATGAAGTTTTAGGAAAAAAACCAAAAGGGATGTTTTAAATGTAGCCTTGCCTCATCAGCCACCATTCTAAAGATGACTTCAAAACTGAGGAAAGCATGGACTAACAATATGCTGGGAAAGCAGTGGTATCTTAATTAAAAAACAGCAGCAATATTTTAATAAAAAATACTTCAGAAACAGAGTGGTCCCTTGAAAGCCACTTTGTGCATTTTCTCTTTCAAGAGACAGTGACTGGAATTAGGAAGCAGTTACAGTTCTGTGCCCAATCATGTCATTGCAATGGCTTTCACCAAGAAGTTAATTAGATTTACAGTCCTCCTGAGCAAGAATAGAATTAAGTTATGCTTAAAAGGGCTTTAAACAGACCTTGTATAATGGCCCCAGAAAACACAGAATTATTTTAGGGTTCACAGGACATCAATCTTCATCCAACTCTTTCCATTTCTCCCTCTCCAGAGAGTACCAAAGACTCTTGTCTTCATCTTTCTGGTACTTTTTAGTAGAATATACACACACACACATTTTATAAGGAATGTTACATCATCAGCTAAAATGAAAGAATGGTAGGACACCCAAATGAATTACTTCTGTCCTTGTGGAAGCTTTCTGAGCGAGCTGCAGTAGTAATGGGATGGTTTATTTTGGTACCATTACATTAATAATTAATGCAGAGTACTTACATACGTTCATTAATTTTCCACCATCCTCGCTCACAGCCTTTAATATTCTTCTCACTAATGGTGTAGTTATGGAACTTCAGGGCTATACCAAGGCTCTTCTGTGGAGTCTGTTGTGAGCAAGAAAGACAGTGCAAGCAGGCTTCTTTTTCCTTTTGTGGGCACAGAACACAAAAGTCTATAAACTTTTCATATATTTCAGGAATTACAGGGCTTGGCATTGCCACAAACCTTGGGAGCTGTGCTGGCCTCAAACGCATCCAGATGTGTAGGGACACAGAAGCCCAGAAGATTTTTAGAGTTAAGATACTGCCTGGAATACTTGTGTCACCTTTGTAATGCTAGGAGTTACTTTTACCACATTATTACAGTCTTCTGCTAGCACCTGCTCAGCCATGCATCCTTGGTATTTTAGAAAACATTTCTAAACCCAGCAAAACCACGAGTGTGCCTACTTAATTGGAAACTTCTTCCGTAAAAGGAACAGAACATTTTTTGCAAGGCAGGGTTCATTTAAAAATAAAGGCTGATTCAGGGCAAAAAACCAGAAATGAAAAGTTTTCTCCCTCTCTCTTACAGAAAATATAACTTGGGAAATGAGCAAAGTTTCAATATTGCACGAAAACACAATATTGAAAATGAAAATGGTTTGAGCAATGAACCTTTCTATCAGAAGTCCAGAGTGAAGACTGTAAATTTAGCTCCCCAAAAATTGCCTTATCATTCTAGAAGGGGAAAAGGCTGCAGGTTATGGCTAGCTGGGCTTAATTTATATTGCTGTGATTCATTGTCACTAGCTTAACAAGTCATGAGTACCATAAGCAGAAAGATGGATAAAAAGTGGATCTTATCATATCCATTGCTGCATTCCATAGAGAGGAAAACACTGAAGACCAAACCCTAAGTCAGAGACCTTATTTCAGCAGCCCTAATAAGTAAACACTCAAGTCAGAGAAAACAGAAGTACTTTAAAACAATATCAACTTTCAGCAATTTGCTTTCAGGATGAAAAAAAGCAGAAAAAGGATACCAAATTAAAAAAAAAAAAAAAAAAAAAAAAAAAAAGAAAACAAAAAAAAAAAAAAAAAAAAACAACAAAACCAACAAAAACAAAACAAAAAAAAACCAGCACAGGATTGTGCTGGAAGGACAGACCATCTGAACACAAAGTAAATGTATTAGGCATATGAAAAGATACCAGAGAAGTGGCAATAATATCTAAGTTAGTTTTTTATACATACTTTTCATCCAGATTTCTGTGGGTGGGAAGAGAGGACTTAAAAACAATCAAGTATTACATTGCTTGCCATGAAATAATTCTGCAGGCTAAAGATCAAAACAGATCTTAACTCTTCACCTTTGTAATAGGACAGCTTAGGTACTATGTTCTCTTCCTTAAAAATAAGTGCACAGAAAGAGAAAAAACTGATACAAAACAGCTGAGCACAGCCAGGTATTCAGCAATGCCATTTCCATAAACTACTACATCTGTGAGGATGCAGGTTACTGCCAGCTCAATCACTTCTGCCTTACTTAAGCTCTATGTGCCCAAAACACACAGCAGTGCCTAAGAGAGAAAGAATCTGCTACCTGGAAATTCCATGCACATAGGCATTTTGGAGGATAATAGCTTGGGTAATAGGGACTTGTGATTCTCCCTTCATAGCCAGTTTCCTCTTTTGTCACTATTGCTTTTCCACACCCTAGTGGAAAAAAAAAAAAAAAAAAAAAAGGCAACATTTGGCAAACCTTCATATACTTTCTGTAAAACTATTCAGTGGGCTAAGGCATCCAAATTTATCAGAACTCTGCCACTGCAAAGCTGGGCAGGTCAGGAATTATATTTGACTGGATTCAAGTTGTAGAAAGGGACCCTTCCCAGTGAAGGATATAGGATGAAGACAAAGGATATAAAGATCCAGGGATGAGTGCTGGTCTCTGCAGGACCAGAACACACTGTAAAGTTTATCTATGTTATTTCACCAAAGACAGTTTTGCAAACAAGAATATCAATACATCTTCACAAGGACCTCTAGTCTTAGAATGCAGCCAGTTAGAAGTGAAATGGACAACAAACTAAACTAATCAGCCTCCTAGAACCCAAAACTTTCTTGGATGACAGCTCAGTGGATTTACAGAATTCATTATAGACAAACTCACACATGCAGAGAAACAAACAAAGTAAACCCAGACTTGAACATAAAGAAAACAAACCAACCCACAAAGAATAGAACTTGAAGTTTATTATGGAGAATTTATCATGTTTTCATGATGGCATATTAATGCTTAATTACATAAGTATGCAGCATCTTTTTGAGCAGCTTGAATTTCCTTGCACTGGGTTGTGCGAGATCTTTCTCCTTGTGCCACTAGCATGACATCCCTTGCACTATTTGTTATTATTTCCATTATTGTTATTATTGTTATTGTTGTTATTATTACCATTTCTCAAAGATTAAAGCAATGAAGTCATGAACTTGGTGCACAAACGTTATGGACTCCTTTGTAGCAAATGCACACCAAACAACGGAACCTTTATCTTCTGAAAGAGGTTTTTAGTGCTGACATCCTGGCATTTTTAACATGATTACAGCGTCCCAAGGACCACTGCCACGGCTGGAATAACAGCCCCATCTACTGGCACTCTGCAGCCCTCGCCAAATGAATCCTTTGAAAGGGTAAAAAGGGCTTTTCAGCCTCTGCTTTCAGCCTTTTGCCTCCATTCTGCACAACCAGTCTGATGAGAGCACATTGCTCAACAGGAGTAATGCAGAGGGGCTGTAAAAAGTAGAAACTCAGATACAGGAATAATTTTTTCCATAGTCAGAAACATGATAGACACTTCAGGATCTCAGAAGGAACAATATCATAAACACACTTGCAAACACAGAACAAACCTACTTTCTTGTGTAATGACCTCAAAATAGCCGTGGAATTCCTTTTGCTCCTTTACTTGTGCTGCCTTAAATATTACCAGCATGAGATTATTTGTGGACACAAGTGACACCAATGAATCAGCTGGTTCACAGGCTCTGAGGGGGAAGAAAGAAGAGCAAATACATAAGCAATCTCTTAAAAAGCAAAAAAGTTTAACACATTACTCTGACTCTATGCATAAATTTTCCACTGGTTCACATCTTATCTGTTTCAAAGTCCAGTCAAATCTCCATGCTCTTGAGCAAAAAAGTACCTCTTACAAGGCCAGTTAGAAACTCAATACTGGAATTTTTTCTTACAAAAATGAACAAAATTGCATGAAAATGCATATGGAATGTTTCACTCTATGAGTTAACGACTTTCAGCCTTCACTCCCAGTAAAAATGAATGAAGGCAAAATTAACAAAAAGCTGGAAGAAAGAGAAATCTTATTTTATTAGACCAACAGTTTTATCTTCTTGTTGGGGAGTGGGAAAGACAAGAAAATTATTTTTCACATCAGAATTTAAGAACCTGAGCCAATCAAGTAGTCATATTAAAAAAAAAAAAAAATACTTTCCATATGCATTACCTAGCAGACATCTTCAGTCCTCTACAGATACTAACATGCAAGTGAACACCATCCAAGCCAACTGGAGATACAGATTAGTAAAGGACAGCTCTCAAAAAGGACTGAAAAGCCTTTCTGTCTGACTCTGGTTTTGAGGCTTATACACAGACTGAAATGCCAGAAAAAAAGGGTTTCAGGGGTGAAAACACCGAGCTTTTGTCTACTTCATGAAGGTGCTGTTGTTTCCTTTAGATTTACCTATGGACTATCTATGGAGTTAATTATCTAAGTATCTACGGAATTAATTATCAGGGATTTTAAAAATCCCTAAACAAACATAATAGATCATTAAAGAGAGAGAAGAAAAAGAAAAAACTTAATAGTCCACATCCCTCAACCCATCACAGCTTCAAGTCTAGATTTTTATAACCCTCTAAACAAATAGAGCAGATAAAAAAAGCACTGAACTAGTGAGTGCCAGTAAATGAAAATCACAAGACTTAGTTTCAGAACTTCAGTCTTTATCTGAAAAGCACTAATATTAATACAAAATAGCTTGCTTAAGGGAGAAAACTTTAACACTCTCTTTCAGTCAGCATCTGTTTCCTGATAAGAAAAGGAAAATTTTGCCCAGTAATGTGCGAATTTTTCATAATTCTTTAGCTAGGTCAAGATGTACTGTAGTTAAAAAAAAAAAAGAGAAAAAAATTGAAGAAAATTTTCCCTTTTATTAGCAAGATAACTTATCAGAGAAATTTTAATTTGTTAGGTGTGTTGTGAGTAATATATGACGATGAGAGCAATTTTAACAAAACCAGACTAACCAAAAAATGAAGATGACAGATCTTCAGAAGGTTGTCAATAAACTTGTAATAGAAATTGATACTCACCGGTAGAGGATCTTATCTTTGATGGGCACCAGAGAGTCATAAATGGTGAGCGAGTCAGTGATGCAGTTATCTGCTTCAATCTGAAGGGAGACTATGGAAAGGCGGACAACGTGGCCCACAGATGCAATGAGCTTAAAATAGCAGATTGTTCCCTCTGAGGTAGCTTGAGTATCCAGAGGAAAGTGCTCATGTAGTTGGTCAGCATAGAGATCATACATGCAATTTGTTCCTGTGAAAATGTCACATTTTCAACACTGGATGCAATCGCTCCAAAACTCCTAAATCCGCGTGGCATTAAAACAAAAAAAAAAAAATCCTAAAGCTTGTGCTAAACTAAAGCAGAATATGAAGGCATATCTTAGAAACCAAAGTAATAATAGAATTATAGAGTGGTTTGGGTTGTAAGAGATCATCTAATTCCAAACTCTCTGCCATGACAGGGATACCTTTAACTTGACCAGGTTGCCCAGACTCCCATCCAGCCTCAGCCTCAGACACTTCCAAAAGGCATCTACAGCTTTTCTGGGCAACCACCCTTACAGTAAAGAAGTTCCTGTAAAGTTTTTCCTGCCCTAAACCCAAACCTACCCTTTTTCAGATTAAAGCTATTCCCCTTTGACACTGTGAGCCTCCCTTTCTGGCTGCATCACTCACTGTTTTTATCTTAGTTACAACTCCGTGGTCCAAGAACAGCCTATTTATAAAAAGTACAGAGCACGGCCAACAGTGCTGTAATTCAGTTCTTGCAAGGTATTTATACTAAAGTAGTGCCATTTTGTACAATTTGCAGTTAAAGTTCTGCAGAGTCTCTAGAGGATAAATTACTTAATTCTTCACTGGGACATACTAATCTACTTTCAAAGCATAAATATACTGCTTGCCCCTAGGGGCATTAGGATATTTAAAATACATAAAATAAAATCAAAGCAAAAATGCAGTTGCATGGCTGTATTCCCTCAGCTTTTTTACTGATCAAATGTCAAGGTTCTCAATGTTTTATCATGACATGAACTAGCAGTTAGATAGAGAATACCAGATTCACCCAAATCCTTCAGTTTGGAAGGGATGCTAGGGGTTTTATAGTTCAATATTCTGCTCAAAGCAGGATCAAAATGAATTCAGACCAGGACTTTGTTCTGCCCAATCTTGAAAATCACCATTAGAAATGGAAACACTGTGAAATAAAAATTATGCAACCTACCCTACACAATATTTATTAAAAAAAGGGTAAAAATTTGTGTCATAATTTAGACAAGGATAAGACTATTACCCTGCTTGCATCCAATTTTCCAATTAAGCTGAAACAACTGAGATTTCCAAATAAAATACATAGAGGTCTTTATTGCAATTCAATATTGCAGCTAGCAGTCAGCAAAAAGCTCAGAGAATTTTTGTTTGGTCATGTCTAAAACTCTTAATATAGCTCTTTGACAGGTGAGAAGGAAGAAAAATGCAAATTAGGGAGACTAAGATCCAAAGTGAATATTTGCCTTAGTTTCTGCCTATTACAAACATAAGTCTCTGAAATAGTTACCACCATGGAACACCAATTAGAGCACTGTGAGTTTACTACCAATTGTTGACTCAAATTAAATGCTGACCTTTTAACCAGTAGTTAATCAAGACAGGATGTGGCAGGCTTTGTCCAACTTCCACTTCTAAATTACACTCTTGAAACTAATGCTATGAATGTTTATGAACAATCAGTGAGGGTCACATTCCATTTAAATGAATTACAGTTAAAACTATTAAAAGCTTTGTTTAAATAATTGTTATTCCTTCTTCCTTGTTCTTATCTCTTCCCAACAATGTTCTTTTTATAATAGTTATTTGTGCTTATCTAGTCACCCTTAGCAGAGCCAACTTTGATCATAATCTCTAAAATTATATGCAACTACCATTATTTCCACTAAGTAATTAATAATGGGATGGGTTCACTGCTGCTATGGAGCACAGCCAAGAGAATTCAAAGCTGTCTCTAGAACTACAAGTAGTTCAAGCATGCTGGCTTGAAACCAAAGCTGGAAAATGTCTTTACTGGATGTCCACAAGTCCCTTCTCCAGCACCACTCTTCAATAAATCTGCACTCCAGTCTGTGCCTGAACCAACCAGTGGGTTCATCTCCATACTCCAAATTAAGTCCATTGCTCTCAAAATACAGTCTGCCAATGCTCACTCATTTTGTGCTGCTGAACGTTCACTTTTACCTCTGCATCATAGTCCATAACCCTAAACAGACACAGCCAAAGAACCCCAACAAATAAAATTGCACCAGTATCAGATTTTGAGACTCTACTGTGGCCATCCATGCTATTTATCCCCAAGAACTTCATTATATACCCAAGCTTCCCACAGACACCAGCTGACACCTGTGGGTGCCTATTCAAAGTCTCCGAAAGATGTCTAGAATATGGCAGGTCATCCTTCTCCCTTTGTGTGAAAGATACCATGTAAGTCCTAAAAACCCTTAGCAACAATATTTGTGCTGTGCTCTTCCTAATTTCTTCTGTTTTAGGGGCTGCATTCTGGAATAAACTGGAACCAAGTTCCACCTGTGCCAACTTCTCCACCCTGGAACACTGAACTGGGAAATGAAATCACTATGCAAGTAAACACCAATACATAAAACACATTATAGAAATAAAATGCACATTAATGGGATGGCATAGAAGCCAATATTGTTCTGTTTTTCAGCTTAAGTCAGGAGGCTTTTAAAGAATGAATGCTGTAGCAAACTTGACTTAAGTTTTGAGAAATTATGGGCTGTTAGCAATATAAACATTGCAAACCATGCTCTGTGACCTGAAGTCCACCTGTGGACCTCAGAACTAGAAGAGCTTGGCTTGGCTGCATGGCAAAAGTAGTTGTTGGGTTCCGAAAAAAAATATGCCAGCTAAAATCTTTGCAAGGTAACAGAAGTGAAAAATCGCAGGCAGAAGCGCAACAAAATGTCTCAGGAAAGAAAAATACAAACATGGAAAGCTATAAAACCCTTGAAAAACCAAAAAAAAAAAAAAAAATGCAACTTCTCAAGTTGAGTCTCTCTTTTCTCAAGAAGAGTCAGTCTGTGTCAAGTAGCAAGGGAGAACAACACAAAAGAACCTTCTGGGAGGTTTACAGCATGAAGCCAAGCAGGTGTACAAATAGTGTCTCCCACAACCCTGGAAAAACTCAGCTGCCTCAAGTAATTACTGTTAGGGAATTCATTCAAAAGAATAACTCACCATCAGCCTTGGAGAAAAGGGAGTTAATGTTGATAAAAGAGGGACAAAAGCATGGAGAACACATGCTCTTGTTCAGCATATTAAATTAATTACTGAAATATTTAGAAAAGGTTAGTCTGCTGGTCAACACAATGAGTAGCAAACACCTGATTTAGTTTGTTTCCTACTATGTCACTAGGTACATCTAAAAATTTACCAGACAGATCAAAGGTAGATGGTTCCTGTATTTTTTACATGCAAGATTCTTTGTTGTTCTTTTAGTAAGAAATGCCAAGATGGATTGGCATTCTTAAATGCCATTCTTAAATTAACACTGAACAGTACCTAAGTCCAAGTCATGAGCTAAAAGCTTTGTTCTCCACCTCTCCTCTGCAGGAAGCTGCAAAAAGGGTGAATTACCTGTTCCTGTTGTTGACCAATAATCTGACCGAAGACCTGCTGCATAGAAAAAGAGTTGTGTGAGTCTTCTTGTTTGCCTGAAATCCAAAATTCAGGGTTTAATTCAATCCCACCTCAGTCCTAACCCTGAACATGCAGAAAACATTTTCTCAGTGAAGGGGGTTGCCCTCTCCCCCTACATTTCCGAAAATTCTGCAAGCAGTTTTGGAGATGGGGGAAAAACAGACTGCATAGCAATTAAGCAGGCAAAGTCAATTGATGACTGAGACAGAGGTACCCAGGAGGTCATTTTCTCATCCTTGGCTACAAAGTCTCTCTCCTCTCTCATCTTTCAGTTCAACAGAATTGTTCTGTCTGATGTCCTTAGAACAGAAAATCATTAAACATTTTGTAGCAAAACACATTAAACATGCTTGAATCACACGTTGTGAGTTTGTTCCCAGACAGGAATGGCACAGGAGTTATTTAACAAATGAGTACCTTTATAATCTGGTTTTGAATCTTTAATAGAGTAGTGATGAGAGTCTCATTTTCAATGAAGTGATCCACCTTAACTCTTCATGTTTTTATGCTTTTAAAATCACAGACTAACCCAAATTTGCCTACAAAGGTATCCATTTTACCTCCTGACTATGAACATAACCCCTCCCAGTGCAGGAAGTTTTGCAATCACTGTTTACAAGGATAATTTGTACCTTGATTTGACCTAAAAATCTCATTTTTATTTTCCTTCTCAGTTTTTTGTCTTCAATTACAATTTTAGTAATAGAAGCTAGAGATGCAGGGTCAAGATTTTAGTTTATTTATAGAATTTGCTACTCCAAGGTAAAAACGTTTGCTTCATGAAGTGTTTCCTCAAGGATATGGATATGTTCTAGTACGAACCACTTAGGACAATGGAATCCATGTCGACTGCAAGGCCCTGAAGGCTTCCCACTGAGGTCCTGTTAGTGATACTTGTCTGAATGGAATCCTTTAAAATGGCAGCCACACAATCCTCACACAGCACCTGCCCCTTGGCCTGGGGCACCACGAAGACGATCCAGAAATGAACAAGAAGGCCTCCATTGTTGTTGTTGCTGAAATAAAGAGCTCAGGTTACCATCCTATTGGAAGTTCTCTGAAGACTAGACTCCCAGCCCAAGCTTCTGAAGCACAAAGGCAGAAGTGCATGGCTTATTTCCATATTTTATAATTACTTTAACCCATGAATGTATATTTTCCCCTTAAAAAAAATCAACCAAACAAGACAAATCCCAAAACACGCTCTTCACACCCAGTTGGGAATATTCAGTAAGCTAATTTCCTGAGAGCTCCTAACTTTAGAGATCTGTGGAGATCACATTGTCTATACATGAATTAGAGCTGGACTATTTCCTAAAGATCAAAACAGAAATAGTAGAACAGAAACAACAGCATTATCACCTCCAGAAATGCAGAGCTCTGCAGTGGTATGTATCTCACCCTGCACTGTGTGTTGCAGTTTGTAGGAAAAGATTCCTAGATTATTTAACACATTAGAGGCCATGTATGATCACACTAATCTCTAACTCCTTAGTGGGGAGAAAGCCCTTTAAATCAAACACAGCCTAAAAACTTCCAGTTTCTGAAACAAAACTGTATTTGGTTCTAGAGGATTGAAATAACTAAACTTCTAACATTAGCTGCAAACATTAATATTAGAGTAAGAATATTTTATTGCATAGACTTCCTACTTCTTAAGTAGAAAATGCTTTTATTCCAATAACATTACTCACAAAAGATGTGCAATTTAGTCAATAACACAGAGTTGTGCTCCAACAGCATGTTTAAGTGATTAAACTTCTACATGAGTGAAAGGATCACAAAACCTCTTTATTGACATTATTTCTGTTCATCTTGCATTGTATTTCTGGCAGACAAGAAACTGTTTATATGACTTTAGTTTGCCCTTACTTTTGTTAAGTGAATTGGTGTAGGTTATAAACCTATTTTGCTATCAGTTCAAGTACATAGCAAAGACATTGAATTATAACTATTAAAAATAAGCTTGCTTTGTGGGCTTATTACATTATCTACTGCCTAGCAGAAAAGAAATTACTTTAACCACAGTTTTACCTGACTTCTGAGACTGTGGACTGCTTGTAAAATTTGGAGAAAGAAGAAGTTGTGTAGACCAAGTTCATCTGAAAGACAAAGTATAAAGATTTAGCATTCTGGAAACAAGTCACACCTACAGATGTAATATGCCTAGGCTTTTCTAAGGACAACCTATTTTCCACCAAGACTATGCAACATGCACACAATGCCAGACATACATCAGCCAAGCTAGGCAGAAAAGGAGATGAATAGACCAGCTCTTCAATGCACCTGTAACAAATCCAGTTTTCTCAGGAAACATCAAATCTGCCCATGGCCAGCTGGCATACACAATAATGCTCTTTCCATACAAATTAATTTTTGACAACAGTGCACATCCTTCAGCCAGAAAATCCCAAACACAGAGGGCTTCCCTATCCCGATGCTAAAACTTAAGGGCAAACTTCAAGAAATGCACACACACTCAATAACACTTTTTCTTGAAGGTAATCCACTGGAAATGGCCCTGAGCAATTCTATACATGGTAGAGCTGACCCTGCCTTGAGCAATGGGATTGGACTCGATGCTCTCCAGAGGCCCTTTCCCATCTCAGTCTTTCTGTGATTCTGCGGGAAAAGCTATGATATGTGCTCACCACACCACAATAACAACAACAAAAAAAATTGTTTTTATGAAGGTGCAGTGAACAGCACATAAAAAAAAAAAAAAAAAAGAAAAGTTATTAAGAAGCAGCAAACAACACATACCACAGCTTTTCCCGCAGAATCACAGAAAGACTGAGATGGGAAAGGGCCTCTGGAGAGCATCGAGTCCAATCCCATTGCTCAAGGCAGGGTCAGCTCTACCATGTATAGAATTGCTCAGGGCCATTTCCAGTTGATTACCTTCAAGAATGGAGACTCCACACCTTCCCTGGATGAGAACCCCATTGCTGGATTCCCCTCACAGCTAAGGGATTTTTTTTTTTTAATGTGTCCATGGAATTGTTTGCACTTTGATTCCTTTGTGTCTGTTTTCTTCATCAACAGCTGAGTATTAACATATTTCTTTCCAATATACAATTCTTTCTTTCTTTACACAGTGTAAAACGTGGAGAAGCAAAATCCCTGCCTGTTCCCTGCTGAAGGACTGACTGCCTTTGGGCAAAGCAAGCTCCTGATTCTCCTTGGGCTGGGATAATACTGGTGTGACAATAACCTTCCTCTCCCCATCCTGTTCAAAGCCACAAGGTGGCATGTACCTCAAACTGTTTGGACCTCACTCTGCTGTTTTATGATTAAAACTCATGTGCAGAGGACATGAGACATGACACAGACTGACACAGAATATTGCAAAGGCTGTAAAAATCACATCCACATTAATCCCTAACTTTCATCATTTGAAACAGCAAGTTTAAACAATAATTTTAAGGGCCCAAATAAGGTGGGTAGAGCTCAATCATGCTCTAGATTAAGGTACAAGGGATTTTATGTATTACTGTTACTCTCAAATGGAAAGAACCTATCTTGAGAGGTTTTTCTACTACCACTTGGGGTGCCTGGGCCAGCAGCCAGTAACAAAAGGGTTTTGAGGAGAGCCAAAAATCCCAAATCCCCCACTTCCATACTAACAATTTTAGTCAACAGTTAAGGTTGCCAGTTTCAGCAATGCAAAATCCATCGATGAGTTCAGGCAAAGTTCACAGATAAAAAATAAATTCCAAGTAATGTTCAAGTAGGAGGTGGTGACACTGGCAGCTCAACACCTTCTGTCTGTTGCCTCTCTCCGCTACGTGTGGCAAGGGCAGGATGCTCTGAGACAAGAGCAAGACACAGGCAATACAGGACATTAGAGCTGCTCCATGGAGAGCAGGGAAAGGTGATGCCCTGCACTGGTTATCTGAAAGAACTCCAATGATTAATATGCAGAACTTGGAAAGAGCTGGAAAACAGGAACGTTAGTTCACGTTATAAGGGGACAAAAACTTAGTAATTATTGAAAAAAAATTTCTTGACTGCATCTAACTTGTTTTTTGTTCTTTTTGTTTAGCAGTTGTCATATGGTTGCTTGAATCCTTATGTGGACAGTGCTGCAGTTCCTGACAAAAATGTGTTTTTATTCCCTACACCTTTAAAGTCAAATTCCCTTCTAACCAAGATTCCCCCCCACTTCCCACTGTAGAGCAGCTATTGATCCAGAGTTCTATTTTTGCTTTGACTGATGCAAAGTATTTGGGAAGCATAATGGTCTCTAGAATACCTAGTATCACAAGGAAATGTAGATTTCCTTCTGAAATATGTTTGGGATCCCTAGGGTGATTATAAATGCTTTAAGATACCCATGTAAATGCAAAAGATTTCGAGATTTCATCTGCTTGATGCTTCAAAAGCGGCAATTGAGTTTAAGGACTTTTGTAGAATTTTAGTCACAGATCATAATTTATGGGTGAAAGTACATAAAATTTTAAGTCAAATGTAAAAACCAGATCCATTCATAACTAAGTTTGTGCTTAACCAGCTGAAAGCAGTCAGTTCCTTCCTACCTCCAGCTTGCACATAATGCTGGGGGGAAGGGGGGAACACCACAGCAACCTCAATGGCACCTCAATATCATTTGTTCACAGCTCTGGTCTTTTTTGCTAACCAAGCAGCCCACCCATCTTACCACATGCTGCACAGTCTGTGCCATAGAGAGGAATTCCTTTGACTCTTTCTGCCTATATTCTGGAAGAAACTCTATGTTGGCAACACGAAACAGTCCAACAAAATACAATGCATCTTTGTTTTCTGCCTGAACTGCAAGAAACAAAGACAGTTAGCCATTTTTTAATAACAATGAAGGTTTTTTTAATTAAATTTGAAACCAAATTAATCTATCTACTTTCTGGTGTGAAACAACTACCCAAAAGAGCACTATACTTTTATACCCAAACTGTTCCAGATGTGTACCAAATTATGGTTAATTGAGCTCCTGTTAGCTACATAAAATATAAGATACCACCATACAAACAAGTCAGCATAACTGAAGGCAGTATCAACACCCAGATTTGGGAGCATCCCTAAGGTATCTTAGGCAGTAGGCCTAAAGAGGAAAAATAGCTTTTAATGCTTAATTACACACATTTATTTTACTCCCCCTCTACTTTCTTAAATCTAGTCTGAAAAACAATGTACTTACCTGAACTTCAGAAGCTCAAGAAACACAGTGAAAAACAAAATTCCTGAGGAATCAAGCTCATAGAAACCTTTCAGCTTGCACACTAAAATGCTTTTCATACCTCTGAAATAAAGTCCTGCTCCCTAAAGCCAGCTTTTCTAATTACTTGTTAAGTCTTAGCAAAGACAAAAGTTTTTCAGACCCGATTTTAAAATTTTCATGTTTATTTTAGAAATAGCCTTCAGGACAACTGAGATCCTAAAGTCATCTGAAAGTACTACTAGTGATAATGATATATGGAGTTGGCATGAACTTTCAGCAACTCACCAATGAAGAGCCACAGTAATGTCCAGGTTACAACTCCTAAAATGAATAGAATGAGGGTAAAGAGAATTATTTTGTTTTGAAAATTCCATAGCAACTTATCTTTTTTCTTCAATTTGTCATGCTTTTTCCTTGCCAGAATCCTCTTTGCCAACTTGTCTTCTGCAGATACCATTTGGACTGAAATGTTGGCTGCCTAAAATGAGGTGAAAGACAACAAAAATCGTGGAATGTTTCTAGCAGGAATTGACTGATCAACAAGTCTCAAGCACTTTGTTCCTCAGAGAAAAGTCTCCACTGCCTCCAGGCTGTGGAGCAGTGGCCATGGAGTTCCTGCATGTCTGGCTCCCTCTGAGAAGTTTCCTCCAGTGAAAAGGAGAGCACAGCACAGGTCTTGCTGAGATGGGACCTGCACAAAATCATTACCTGGATATCCAAATGCTTGACAGTTTATTTTGAACTACAGTTCTTCTAAGCTGGATCCAAAATATGTCCTGACCATCTCATCTAGGTAAAAAAACCCTACATGACCATTTCTATATTTGCAGGAGTAGTTTCCACTTCCTAAAAAGTATCTACAGCTTGTCTGTTCTGGAAAGCCCATTTGTACCAGACACCACACCATGCCTCAGGCATTTCCCTCTGCAGAAAATAATCAACACATTTAAGCAGACAAAAAATGTTTATCAGTTGCTGCAGGCACAGCAAGAGCTGCCCGAAGAAGTCCCTGGCACTTCATAAAAGTCTCTCTTTAGAGTATCTCCTGTCACAGTCAAATGGTTTGTTGTGAGATCAGCTAGATGTTCAACCACATTTCTCAAGTCAATTATTGTCTTATCTCTTCAGAGTTTAGCTGGCACATTCCTGGACCACTCAGAGTATTACTGACCACGTGCACTAGATAATGAATACTGGTTTAGCTGTTACACCCAGCAGCACCAGAATTAAATTACAAGGAAAAAAAAAAAAAAAAACAAAAACCACAAACCCCACAACAAAACCTCAACCAACCAAAACCCACCGCGCATTTCCTCCTTACATAAAAATTACAGTGCAAGTTAGATAATATTGCTACATAATCAAGGAGCATTCAGGAAAAATACTCTAAAAGTGAGAGGGAAGTTCTCAAGGAGCGGCTTTAGGAAGCTGTGGGTTGTCCATGAAGGGAGCTGTTGGCAAATACCAGTCAGCAATCAGCAGGAAGGGTTTTAGTGCAGTCTTCTATGAAGCACAACACGGTCTTGGACAAAATGATATGACTCAAGACCTCATATAAATGAGGATTAAACTGAACTTCACCATTTTAAAGATGACCAACACAAACAGGTATTTTTTCCTTGTTTTTTGGAACAGTTAGATTCACTTCAATAGAATCTCCAAAGCAGGTCTCCCTCCCTCACAGCTGAATTTATGCCACTCAGAGGCCTCTCTAAGTGGTCCATAATTTCTAAGCAGTGCAAATCAAACAGCTCTGACAACAACCAGTGATAACTGGTCTATGATTTGCTCAAGATGCTGATAGACTCACTCTGAGGGACAAACTGCTGTCCTATCACCTGTTCCCCTCTGTGCCCACATAAAAATACACTGAGGAGCTCACAATCACACTAGAAGAGACACACTGAGCAGCAGAGCCCCCAGCTTGGGCAGACCTAGATGTTCCCTGTGCTCAATAGGTCTCTGCAGAGCTACAGCAGGTAGTTGAGGAGAAAGGGTACAACCAGATGCTCACCTATTTACCAGCATTCTCAGAAGGTACCTTGCAAAGAGTGTGTGACCTGTTGTAGACTAAAAGGTATGGACACAACATTCATTTTTCATCCATACTATTTATATGACACTTGATGAGAAAGAAGACCATGAAAATAAGGAAATAACCAGCTGAGAATGTCACCCTTGAGTTTTCAGTGTGGGATGCCACATTTCATACAGTGGCTACAAAAGCTCTGTGCTGATGCAGCTTGACACTCAGGAGATGACAAGCACAACTGCCAGCCATGTGCAAAAGTGGTGTTGTGAAATGACCTACAAAAATGCTTTTTTCTTTTTGCTCAGCAGTAGGAGATGCCCATCTTTGCATTGGGCCAATCAGGATAAGAGAGATGTTGATTATTCAGAGTGATTCCAGGGGAATATCATAGAGGTAGGGAGCTGGACGAGATGATGTACAGCAAAAAGCTGAGAGCCTTAGGGTTGTTCAGCAGGAGACAAGAATGCAAAGACTGTGAGTAAATCTAATTCTAGATTTCCATATCTAAAGTGGGCTATGGAGAAGACAGAGCCACACTTTCCTCATGGGTGCACACTGAAGAGAGAGCCACAGCAGTCACACACAGCAGCAGGGGACATTCCAGCTGCACTATGGATCAGAAGATCAATGCTCCAAAAAAATCTATTTCTTGTTTTGATGTTAGCCCTGTTCTTAAAAAAAAAATAAAAAACCTGTAGAAGTCTTCACCAACACATTTTTTGGTATGTTTCTCTGATATTATGCAGAGTAATACTATCAAGAAGAGACCTCTGTGTATCCTCAGAGGATACATAAGAAACATCCCCACAAATATCCTGTTGGTCCCATAGTCAAATGCAACAGATAGCAATCTTTGATCTCAGAGTGGAGGATGTTCTAAAAGGAGAAGAAAACTTGGTAATAATTAATAACAAGTAGAGTTAAAAGACTAAATATGACCCTCTACAATTTCCTCAAACAAAATCTTTAAGCACAGAATTGGAACATTTCAGATTCATGTCTTTATCTACATAATGAACTGCACTTGTCTTGTGTGCTCCCCACTTGATTTACCCATCTTCTGTATTTTTTACAAACCTTACTGAGTCTCTTTAAGGATGAAAATGAATTTTTAAAGTTCTGGATTGCCACAAAATTCCTTTATACACTCAGGTGTTCAGTAGGCCAGCATGAGGCAGCTCAATGGATGCTGAGTTCTGACTTATGAAATTCTGGTCACTTTCATCAAGATTCCCACAATAATATTTTATATTAATGTTTTCCCATGTAACTCCTTTTTGTGGCTCTAGACCTAAACAGACAGATTTATTATTAAAAATTAAATCCTGACCAGTATTGTTAAAAATTACTCAAAATTGATATCACCGGATATATAAGGGGACACTTGAAACAACTGATGTCATCATTGCATCTACTGTAATATGATTTTTTTTAGAGCAATTCACGTATTAAGCTTTTCATGACAAAGCTCTCTGTTGCATGGGATTCATAGGAATATTGAATGCTGTGTGCTACATTATCAATATTTCTATTGGTTTTATGAATTTACCATAAACATTTTATAGTAAGGAAAGCAACAGCAGAGTTAAGCTGCTCCCTTCCCTCAATAAGGACCATCATTCTCAGCTCAGCTTTCCTTTACTGCAACTTAGTTCTTGTAGTCTAGAACTTGTTTCCAGCTAACATTGCAATTTGACTATCACCATGCACTAAATTATTTAATTACATCTTTGTCATGAGTCAGCTCTCATACCACAATCCCCTTCTCTAACTTCTCTGGGAAAAGCAAGATACGTTGCCTCCTTTAATGGTGCCTTTCTTGCCTAGAAGTTAACTTTTTTGGAAAAAAATGCTGCATAACACCAATATAAGCTTTTATGTTGTCACACTGATGTGTCCGTTATTTCAATTGTCTGAAAATAGATAATATTAGCAACCCAGGGATAAACACATGTTGACATTTTCAGACTGAGCTATAAACCAGAAAATTATACCAAATCTAACCATCATATTGAGTTTGACACTTGAGAATTACATCACAAGTCATCTAATAATGTCATGAAATATAGAAAATCAAGAATGCTTAAGTCACCTACTTACATTTACTTCATCTTCAGGTTTAGCTGTTGGGGAATCATTTTTTTCATCCATTTCAGGAGAATTAATTTTATGATTTGTCCAAGCTGAGGAAGAGCTTTGCACCTTTTCTCAGGCACCCCTTCTGCTTGTGAAGCTGAAGACAGCTAATTGCAATGTCCAGGACCAAAAGAGGCATCAATTTACTTTGATGAGTTTCCAATTGTAATCTCATCTGCCCTACTGCTCCTTTGCAAATGTTAGAAGACTGCTATCATGTAACTTCAGACTAGAGAAAATAGGCTTTTTGTAGTCTTTATAAAGTTGAAATATTAAAATACAAAACTGCAGTGCTAAAATCTATACATCACTGATCCTCATGGGTCCTTCTCAGTTCAGCATATTCTATGATTCTGTGAAAATGTCACAACATTAGTTACATGAACAAGAAAAGTGGCAAGCAAAATGCAAAAACGAGAGCAAAAATATGCTAAAATAAGGAAAAGAAATTTCAGCAACCTAAGTAAGTGTTGAAAATTGCAGATAACAGCAAATCAAGACGAGCATTTGGACTCTTCTAAAATCTTGTAATGTACAGTATTGAACACTCAAATTTGGTTCTTTTATTATAACTGAAAAATAAACTGCTCCAGGCAACTTACTTTATGTTATTAAAATAGATCAGGCTTCAAACTGAGAATCCTTTTTGTAATCAGATGCAGGAAGTCACTTGTATTATAACAGTTCCATCCTATTGTCTTTGTTAATTAAATATTTATAGAGGATGTAAACCAGTACTTTCCTCAATGGATGCTAAGTATAGAGCTGTCTTTCCTTTTAAGTGATTAACAATCTCAATGCCTTCCTTGAGTCACCTGCAGAAATGGTACTGGTGATATAAAAATATTATTTTAAAAATAACCCTTCTATTAATTTATCTTTGAAGACATAAAACCTAGACTAGCAATTAAAAAAAAAAATACAAAACCAAACACTAAATAGAGGTATGGAATAGAAAAGATGTATTTGGAACTCATAGCAAGTGAGCTCCAGTTGTGATCTATGCTCTGTCCATGTAAGCATCAATAAATTACTTCAACTACAAAGCAAAAATTCCTACAGTTAGATAATGTACTAGCAAAATAAACACTTCTTATCAGGAGTCATCTTTGGCTTATGCCCTGAGGCACAATAATTACTGTCCTCAGTCCCTGCTGCTTGATCTAGAACTGCAAGGTATTTTAAGCATACAAAGTGATATGTTAAGCTCTGGGCCATATAAAAGCTTAGCAGCATAGGAAAGTCTATCCATGCACTCCATATTACTATGTTTAATTGCTTTGAAGTCC